ATTTTTTGTATTTTTAGTAGAGACGGGGTTTCACCATGTTGACCAGGATGGTCTCGATCACTTGACCTCGTGATCCACCCGCCTCGGCCTCCCAAAGTGCTGGGATTACAGGCTTGAGCCACCGCGCCCGGCCTACTAGATCAATTTTTAAATGTCACTTTACTGCATGTATCATTAGGGCAGTTTAATAATAAGATAATTTATGTAAATTGTTTAGACAGCAAAGTGATGAACACTAATGAACACAAATAATCCTTGCTTCTTAAATTGTTCTTCATGGCAATTATAAATCTTTTGTTTTTTTTTCTGAGGTGGAGTCTGGCTTTGTCACCCAGGCTGGAGTGCAGTGGTGCCATCTCGGCTCACTGCAACCTCCGCCTCCCGGGTTTTAAGCAATTCTCCTGCCTCAGCCTCCTGACTAGCTGGGATTATAGGTGCATGCCACCATACCCAGCTAATTTTTGTATTTTTAGTACAGACAGAGTTTCATCATGTTGGTCAGGCTGGTCTCAAACTCCTGACCTCATGATGCACCTGCCTCGGCCTCTCAAAGTGCTGGGATTACAGGCATGAGCCACCATGCCTGGCCTGTTATTTCAATAAGTATTGGTGCCTGCCATGTATCAGGCTCCATGATGGTTCTGGGACATAGGCTAGGTTTTGTCTCTTTAGGATTTTTAGATTGCAAAGTATTTTTATTTCCCCCTGTATATCAGTAAATCTTTAAATCTCTTTGCGTGGAGGTGAATTTTGTAGTTTCCATTTTTCGCCCAAGTTTTCTACACTGAGAATTTTTATTCATTAGGAAAAAGCATATTATTTAAAGCAAGGCAAGACCCTTCATCATTGGAGGGAGTGTGTGACACATGCACAAGCCAGCGCTGGCAGTACCCACCCCCGAGAGAACCTGGCCCTTCTCCCCAGAGGGCATCAGCCTGGGTACAGGAGTAAGACAGTGACTCCAGGCCCAACCCAGCAGCCTCCCTGGACACAGTCAGCAGCTGGTGCCTGAGACTGCGCCAGGTCAGTGGTTCCACAATCCAAACCATTAACTGCCTGGTCGGGAGTGAAGTTCTTACCAAAACTCAGAGAAATGAAAGAAAGGGTAATGCAACAAGCTTTTCATATGCTATTCACTTTAAAGTATTTTCTTTTATGAGAGGTTAAAATGTCTTCTTTCATGAGCTAGTTATATTTGACAAAAGTAAATATTGGAGACCCTATAAGTATCCTCAAATTTTTATTTTGAAATTTTACTGATACGTAAGATCTTAAAATCTAGGAACCCCTGGGCTGGATGACCTTGAATGACCTTCCCAATTGC